TCTAGTTTCAATATAGGTGTGATTAATGAATATTATTGAAAAAAGAATCTATTTTAAATAGTGATATAACGGGAAATATATGATTAAAAAGTAAGGAAAAGTTATTGATGTGATAAAAATATTATTTTATTAAAAAATGTGTGGTTGAAAATGAGTAGAAGAATGAGAATGAAAAAAATAATGTGACTCAAACAGGAGCTTGAAAATGATTATATGAAAATTACTTTATCGTATTCCATTATTTGTAGGCATTGCAGAAATTTGTTCGTATTGAGAAATCGTGTAACGATATATAATCCTCTTTTCTTTTGAATAAAATGATAGTTATTCAACAATTTCGTGTATAAAAATACATAAAATGTTATAAATTGATTTCATATGAAATACAAAGTACGTTAATATTTTTGTAACTGCTTGTTCAAAGACAATGGATCACGTGTTTTTGAATCTTGAAATTCAAGACTTACTGGAAACTTGATTTGCTTGAATTATTGGGACTTGGACGTGGACTTGACTTTGATTTGAATCTTCGAGACTTTTACTTGAACTTGCTCTAATTTGAAGAAGATGTTGATCTTTTTGGATTTGTGAGCTTGGACTTAAGAGATCTTATTCTCTTATTCCTCCAAACTTCTCTTCGGGCTTCTTTTTGGACTTGTAAGTTTTCTCGTGCACTCCAACTTATGATTGTTTCTTGGACATTGGGTAAATAGTAAGATTTTTGTAATCATTCTTAATTATATTTAAACTAATTATTTAATATAAATATGATTTTTTTTAAAAAAATTAATATGAGGCTCTAACATGGGGTTTGTTAAAATACTTGTGCTGCTAAACTTTAGGCTTTAATAAATTTAATGGGCCATCAATTTAAAAGTAACCCAATTCTTTAATTATTTTTTTAGTGTTAACAATTTTGTAAGGGAAAATTTCATATCTAAAAGTTTAACTATGACTCGTTTCAAAACTAAGAAATAATGTTTAAAATTTCAAAAATCAAATGTTATTAAATTTTATTTATGAAATAATATTAAGGTCACAATTTTATATAATTTCTTCACAAATTATCGAATTACTTGGTTATAATTTTATTTTTTTTTGTCACAATTCAAAAAAATTTATAAGTCACAAATAATTTATCGTCACAAATCAAAAATTTTATAGGTAGCAATTCATTCATCAATCACAAAATTAAAAAACTTATAGGTCAAAATTTACGGTCACAAATCACAAATTTTATAAGTCACAATTTATTTAACGGTCACAAATTATCCAATTAATTGGTCATAAGTTGTTTCTTGATCACAACTTAATGAATTGTGAGTCACAATCACATTTTTTAGGACACATATTATATATTTGTTACAAATTATTCAATTTATTGATTACAAACACTCTGATCCCGCTCGACCATCATTGCCACCACCAACTCGCATTTTAAAAAAAAAAAAATTAGTTAAAATGTGTTAAACATGAGTTTTAAAGAAAAACGTTTAACTCGCATTTTCTTTTAAAAAAATTCAATAATTTCATTGACATTTATTATTTTTCCAATATAAATTTCTCAATGTAATTTTCATTCTTTTATTAGAAAGTTTTATATGAAACATGATATAAAAAAATTTCGAAATTTTACATCTGAAAAAGTCATATCCCATGTAAATTTTCGGATGCAAAATTACATGGGGTATAATTTTTTTGGACGTAAATTTTCGGTTGCAAAATTTCTCCAAATTTCTTTGCAAGTTCGATTGTTCCCCCTAACTTTAAACTTCTGCGTTCGCCCCTGCTTGCCGATCTCTCTACATCTATCTACGTACGCATATAAATGTTGTATGTATGAATATGTATAAGCTACACACCATTACAAGTCAATCTTGTGCAGGGAGGGGAAGAGCTAAAGAGGGCAATCCTTTCTACTGCATGCCTTCCACATTACAGCTCTCACTTGCCAGTCTTTCTAGATTTGAGAATTGTTTTTGGAAACATTGTTAAACTATTTTATCCCTGAAAATGAATGGGATATAATTCAGTCTACATAACGTGAATGTCACAGTCATTTGAAATTCCAATAAACGATTTCCATTAATTGGGATATAGGGTGTCATAATTTTAAAAGGTTGGGTACATGAGTAAAATAAATGGTAGGTTGAGGATACGAGTGCCACACTTGTAAAAGGTAGAGGATCCCTAGTTAAATTAGATTGAGGAGATCTTGTTGTGTGATGGGACGAGGTTGATTCAAATTCTTATAATGATTTCACTTTGAACAAGAAATAATTTTAATTGTGGAAGGAAATAAGTAATTATTTTTGACATTTGTTTAAGAAGTGATTTTTTTTGTCAACTTGTAATTTAAACGTAAAGAAAAACAGTGAGGAAATGTGAAAAAGTTCAATGATATTTTAGCCCTGTTTGATAGAGATTAATGTCTAGATTTTAATTTAAATCGAAGTCAATAATTAATTTTATTTACATACTTCATAAGATGTACAACTTTTCAACCACACTTTTTATCGTTTTTTATCAAAATCTATTAAAAATATGATTTCAATCGCTACAAAACAATGGCTTAACCTCACAAAAACATGTCTCACATACATAATTCGAAAATACACGAGCATCTTGTCAATCAAATGCAAGTTCGTACTTGATGTGTGGGGCCTAAAACCATTAAGGGAAAAATTCATAAATAAGGTGTATTCTTTACACCAATTCAAAAATAAGGTTTATAGTTTGAAACTTCAAAAATCAGGTTTTTTTTTTTTTTTTTTAATTCTAATATAATATAATATAATAAACCCACCCCACATGCACCACCCCCCTACTCCGGTGACT